ACTTTCTCTGGTAGTGAAAGAGAGCAGGCCACAAACAAGGCAAAGAAATCCGACACCAGGACGCACAGAAAGAAACAAGGGAAGTGACTAGAAGGTGATGATGGAGTTCTCAGGAAAGGTTGCCTGGGAGAGCGTGTTTGGACAGACACGTATAAAGTGAGGGTGTGGGTCCTGATGATAGCTGGAAGAAGAATGTTCCAGACAGGGAAAACTGTGCAAAGGCCCTGGGACAGGCAAGTTTGGAGATCCCAGGCACAGTGAGGAAGAGGAGGCTGCTGCTGCAGGTGTGTAAGTGGGGAAAATAAATGGAAGGAGATGCCCGACAGCTTGTTAGAGGCCAGGTAGTGTTGAGTTTCTAGAGGCCACATTTTGGTGGTGTTGCTGTTTGAAATGGGTGTCCTCATAACCTAGGTTGGCTTAGAATGCACTCTATAGCCTTCTGGTCTCCATCTCAGGATCCTCTTACCTTTGCCTTCTAAGGTCGAGTTAATCCTTGCTGGGATTAAAGGCTTGTACCATTACACCCATCTGTGGCCATGTTTAACTGAACTAACACACACGCATGCTTTCTTGTTCACACTGAGATGGAAATACCTCATAAAAAGAAATCCTTCTTGTCTAGATTGGGTTCAGAATCATTACATGAAGCCCCTGCAGAGAGTTGGGTGGCCTGTATTCTGTTCTCTGTACGACCTCCGCCAACATACCTATATGTACAATCAGAGGCTGTGCCCTGGTTAGTTTTGTTTGTCAAGTTGACACCAGCTAGAGTTATTAGGAAACAGATACCTCAATTGAGAAAATGCCTCCATCCAGATTGCTTGTAGGCAAGTCTGTAGGGCACAGGTCACTTTGGGTGGTGGCACCATCCCTTGGCAGGTGGACTTGGGTTCTATGAGAAAGCAAACTGAGCAAGCCATGGGAAGCAAGCCAGTAAGCAGCACCCCTCCATGGCCTCTGTACCAGCTCCTGCCTCCAGGTTCCTGCCCCGCTTGAGTTCCTGTCCTGACTTTTGTTTGATGGTGAACGGTGATGTGGAACTTTAAGCCAAATAAACCCTTTCCTCCCCAACTTGCTTTAGTTATGGTGTTTCAACACGGCAATAGTAGCCCTAACTAAGACACTGTCCAATGTGGGGTGGGGGGACACCAAGGGCCCAAAGAAATGAGACTACCTTCAAAGATTCAAGCAAAATGAAGCGTGGTAAAAGTTATCATTCCAGGGATTAAATAAAAAAGAAAATTAACAAAAATTATCACTCTAAAGCTAAAAAGACTTTGGAATGGTTTTGATTTTTTAATTTATATTAAAATGTGGAAGTATTTTAATATAATGCTTAATATATAATATTACATATTAAATATATGATGCATTTAATATAAGGTAGAGGTAGAATCAATCCACAGCAAGGTCAGTAGAGTAGAGTATGCCATTTTAGACACTGAAGCTAATGCCATAAAAGACAAACCCAGAGCTGTGTGGTGATGGTGCACTTGGGAGGCAGAGGCAGATCTCTATGAGTTCAAGGCCAGCCTGGTCTACAAAGCAAGTTCTAGGACAGCTAGGAATGTTATACAGAGAAATACTGTCTCAAAAGAAAAAACAAACAAACAAAAACAAACAAACTCAGGCCCACAGGTTAAAGGGAAGGGAAGAGATTCAGATGAAAACTATAAATTAAAATTACTGGGCAGGGTTATTGAAGGTCATAGATCTCCAAGAAAGAATCTGGAATAATTGAAACAACAACAAGTTTCAATTTAAAAATTTTATTTTTATATTTAACTTTATGTGTGTGTGTGTGTGTGTGTGTGTGTGTGTGTGTGTGTGTGTGTGTGTATGTATGTGTGTGTGTTGGCATCCTTGAAGGCCAGAGGAGGGCATTAGATCCTCTGAAGCTGGAGATACAAGTGGTTGTCAGCTTCCTGACATGGGTGCTGGGAACCAAACTCAGGTTTCCTGCAGGAATAGCAAGTGCCTTTAACTGCAAAGCTCTCTCTCCAGCCTCGGACACTCCCACTTAAAAAGTCATAGTTATTTATATTGAAGGGCTCACTTTGATAGTAATAGAAAATGTGCTCTTCTGGAGACTGCTGAAAGCTTGGGAATACAAGCACTGAACATTCAGCCGGAAGACCAGATATTCATGAGGAAACGAAGAGCTGGTTGACTTCAGCTCTCCATTAAGAAATGTCAGAAGAAGATAGATGATTCTTGCAAATTTTTGAAGAAAAAGATTGTGTGAACATAACAAATGATGACCCATATGTCCAAAGGCACAAAATGGACCACTCACACATTCTTCTTGAAGATACTATTTGAAGACTTGTGTCAGGACACCCAGGATATGTAAAAGGACAGAATGTGGCTTATACACAGCTCACAGCATTACCTGAATGTTATAAGCAGGGGAAACAGTGAAGGAAATTGCATATATTTAAAAGTAGACCTTCTAAACTACAGCTTTTGCCAGTCTGTTATTACTAAACTGGAAAGCAAGTAAACATTTACCCAGTGTCAGCACTTAACCATGTCAAGGGCTTTCTTCATGCATCATCTCATTTAACCCTCTACCATTGTGATAGAATGATCACTGTCTCTTAGAGGCCAAGGAGATGGGCCAGCAATTAAAGGCTCTTGCTACCAAGCCTGAGTTCAATCCCTGGAACCCACACAGTGGAAGGAGAGAACCAAACAGATTATCCTCTGACCTCCACATGCATGCTGCGGCATGTGCATGACCACACACATGTACACACACACACACACACACACACACACACACACACACACACACACACACACACGTATGCAAGCACATGCACACACATACACACACACTCATGCACAGACAAAATAAGTAGATGTAAAAATAAAGATATAGCTAATCATTTTGAATAAAGGAAGCTAAGGCAGAGAAGTAGGGTCTTGCCTAAAGCATGGCTAATGGGTGATAGAATGCAAAGTTTCTGAGCCTGCAAATGTAGTCTGCCTCTAAGTGACTATGGTGATGCATTGCTCACAGGTAGCTGGAAGTTCTGTACTTTACTCTAGGTGTCAAAGAGAGGCGTTTCACTTAAATACCTTTTCTCATACGTAGGGTTGTTGGTTTTACAAGCATTTTCAGGAACAGATTCATTTCCTGGGATCTGTCCGTGTTGTATTTACAGTTTGAGGAACACACATGATATGTAGATGGACATTTCACATGGATGGGACACAATTCCCCACCATATCTCATTTAAATGACTGGGTTGCTTGGATTTAGCTTGTGTTTCACTGTGCAAATGATGTATACATGATGCCAGCTGCTTAAAAAAAAAACCTGATAGAGATTTCTTCATGCTGGGCTGGGCTGAAGGTATTTGATGATTGCTTCCTGCAGATCAACTGGTAAGTCATAAAAAGGTATGAAAATTAGCTAGGACAGTTTGAAATTGCTAGAAGGCCAGGTACACTTGGCTGGAGGGCTATTTTAGAAGGAAACCCAGAGAATCTTATTATTTTATGAATGTGTCACATGTTGGGAGTAATAGTTCAAGGTAAGATATTCAAAACATGTCTTGAGTAGTATTAGAAATGATCTTTTCAGGGTCTAGAGAGATGGCTCATTGGTTAAGAGCACTGGCTGCTCTTCCAGAGGTCCTGGGATGGATTCCAAGCACCCATAAGGCGGCTCAACACTGTCTGTAATTCCAGGGACTCTGGCGCCTCCTTCTGGCCTCCACTGGCACTGCATGCACATGGTTCAAAAACACCCATTACATATAAAATAAAAATAAATAAGTCTAAAAAAGCATTAAAGATATTTTAGATGGCTTCGTTTAAGTGTAACATTCATGTCTGCCTTTAACACATGACTTGGCTTAAGAGCCTCCATCTCCACCATTTCCTTGGGCAAGTAACTCACCTCCTCTCCTACCCTTTCCTCCTCTCTTTTTCTATCTCTTCCTCCCCCTCCCCCTCCACCACCCCCACCCCCACCCTCCTTCCCTCTCCCAGCAGGGTCTCATGCAGTTCTTGCCGAACAGCTGAGGATGACCTTGAACTTCTGGTCTTCCTGCTTCCACCTCCCAAGTGCTAGAATTACAGGCATGTTGATTTCACCTCCTGGAAGCAGCTTCCCTCCTTAGAAAAATGGAGATAATTCTTACCATAAGGATAATTATAAGGATCACACTCGCTACCGCAAAAGGCACTAGGCACATCTTTGTTTTTGTTTGTTTGTTTGTAATCCTAAACCTCATTAGACAGAGGATAACAGCCGTTCCTGCTACTGCAGGCTGTAGTAGGGATCAGAGAGACTATAAGGGATCAGAAATGTGAAAACGCAAGCAACCCGCAGCACAGCACAGCCTCTTTGGTCTCCTTCATAATTGCTCACCTGTCTAATAACCACTATGATCTCAGTTACCGCCGCTGTCACCCCCATCACCCATTAATCTGTCAAGCGATGATGAGCCTCACACTCCAGGTGTACCTTCAAGCAAGGACCTGGACTGTGAACTGGAAAGCTAAAACTTAAAGGCGTGACAACTGCCCTTCGGTCCACCCCACCCCCCCACCCCCCTCCACACACACACACACACCCATCACCTGCCCGTTTAAATGGTGCGTCGCCGCCGCTGTCACTTAATAAAACTTGCGCGGAGCGCGCACCGTGGATTCGCTGGACGCGGCGAGAGGCTCCAGTTCTCACCCGCCCCAGAGTCGCTTGGTGCCCAGGCAGTCGCCACCCCGGTCCGTCCGTCGGGCGGCACCTGGTGAGCGCTCAGCGCCGCGCCGGTCGTCCCCTGATCCCAGACTTTCAGGGGCGCAGCTGGCGAGCCAGGGGTCTCCCCCCCACCGGGTGATTGGCAGCCGGTAGCTGGGCTCCCACCTCCACGAGGATCCACACCTGCGGGACGTACCTGGCCTCCGCGGGACGCCACCTCCTGCTGCAACAGGGAAAAAAAAAGCTAGCACCTCCGGAGGCTAAAGCGAGCGACCCGCGCACTCCCGGGCTCGGGTCACCGCGGGGGGCCATGGACGCGTCGCGGGACATCGGCAGCTTTGTGGTGTGGGACTACGTGGTGTTCGCAGGCATGCTGCTCATCTCGGCCGCCATCGGCATCTACTATGCCTTCGCGGGGGGCGGCCAGCAGACCTCCAAGGACTTCCTGATGGGTGGCCGCAGTATGACCGCGGTGCCGGTGGCTCTGTCCCTCACCGCCAGCTTCATGTCCGCTGTCACTGTCCTGGGCACCCCCGCCGAGGTCTATCGTTTTGGGGCAATATTCAGCATCTTTGGGATCACCTACTTTTTTGTGGTGGTTATCAGCGCGGAGGTCTTCCTTCCCGTGTTCTACAGGCTGGGGATCACCAGCACCTACGAGGTAAGAGGTGAGGGACAGAGGGGGAGGCTTGCTTGCGTTTGCAGGCTCCTGAAGGAACTTTCTGGGGGCAAGCAGTTGCTGCCATATGGGAATCTCTCCTCGTGGGTGCATCTTGGACCTCGACCTCTCACCCCGCATTGAGGCATGTGTCTTCTAAGGGAGATCAATCCTTGGGATTGAATTTTCTGAGCTCAGATCCAAAGCAAGCTGAGTGGAATGGACTCACTAAAGTCTTTCCTAAAACGTGTGTGTGTGTGTGTGTGTGTGTGTGTGTGTGTGTGTGTGTGTGTGTGTGTGTGAAAGGCTAAGTTGTTCCAGTCTCTGGAAGATCAAGAAAGAATTTGTCCACCCAAGTGGTCAAGATGTTGCTCTTGTTCCAGAGCTTGCCTTGAGACCGAATTCCACTTACTTGTGAATGACCGTGGGTCACTTACTTAACTAACCTTTTGTACCGATGTCTTTATCTCAAGAAGAAAATGGTACCACCAACCTCATCCGATTGCGGAGAGAATTAAGTGAGCAGATGCAAGGTGTTCCATTTAGAATAGAGCCTAGCGCAGAGAAGATGCTGGGATCGGGCTGAGTGTAATTATTGTGACGGAGGCTATCCCGAGATGTTGAGAAAAATGCAACAGCAAGGCTCTTAAACAGTGCTTCTCATGAAAGAGACCCACACTTCATCTGTTGCCCTGTTCCTCTGGATGTCCATTTCTTTCCCCAAAGGATTATACATTTTTATTTTTATTTTTTTGGATGTCCATTTTAAAAGTTGCTTTCAGGAAAAGGTTTTTTCAAGATGAAGAGCATTTGGTTTGGTTTCACTTAGAGATGTCAAAGGTGTGTGTGCCTGTGCCCGTTAAAAACTCAGACTCTCATCCAAGTACTAACCAGGCCCAACCCTGCTTAGCTTCCGAGATCAGACGAGATTGGGAGCGTTCAGGGTGGTATGGTGGTGGTGGCACACGCCTTTAATCCCAACACTCGGGAGGCAGAGCCAGGCAGATCTCTGTGAGTTCGAGGCCAGCCTGGTCTACAAAGTGAGTTCCAGGAAAGGTGCAAAACTACACAGAGAAACCCTGTCTCGAAAAAACCAAACCAAAACAAAAAAACCCAACCCAAACCAAACAAACCAAACACAAAACAAAAAAAACAAACAAAAAAAACCTCTCAGACTCCTGGGGGTGGTGGAGGGTGTCCTTCACCCAGACCCCAACTTACAGGCTTCACAGACAAGTTCCCACTGCTCTAGGCCACCAGCCAGAGGGCTAGGTGTCCCTGCTCAGCAGCCCCTCGGGTCTGGAGTTGGTGCCCTGTTTCCCTGAAGCTCAGAGTCACTGGAAGGTGGTTTCATAGTGAGTCTGGTTCAGCTTGTGCTGGGCACCTGCCTTAATGGCATAACGAGAGTTGATGACAAACTGGGCCTGGGTTCTACTGATGTCACCCAGGTCTAGGCATGTCCCAGGCTGCGTTATCTTCTAACTGTGGTCACCAAGTCTTAGTCTTCATCCTGAGTGGGAGAAGGAGGAAATTTCTGTTTGTGAGGGGAGGTGACAAGCCGGCTGTCCCAGGCCAAATTCAGCTTCCACGGCCGTTTTAATTTGTTTTTTTTTTTTTGTTTTTTTTAAACATTTATAAGAAGCTCTGCCTGCTTATTTTGTTTAATAAAAAAATGTAAATTTAAGAATTTAATGATGAGGAACAGCCAAAAAAATTTCAGAGGTCTTTTGAAAACTCAGAAGACTGATGACATTGTGTCCACATTTCCTATGGCCGCTGGGCCTCCAGCAAGAGTCCCTGCCCTTACTCTGTTATTGCCTAGACTGAGGCTTTTCATGCCTGCCCACTCACTTCCTCATGGCAGGGAAATCCTTACCTACACAAAATGTGCGCATGGAAAATGACCAGCGATGAAGGGGCCCTCGGTCAGTGAGTTAAGGGACAGAGGGTATTTCTTAGAGGCTGTGAGGAATGTTCCAGCATCTTAAGATATGTCAACACCTGGCTTCTGTCATTCATGTGTGTTACCAGGTGGTCTATGAAGGATGTGAATGCCTGGCTTCTGTCACTCACGTGCATTACCAGGTGGGCTATGCCGACACTGAGTTAAGTTAGCAAGGATTCTGGCTAAAAAAGGCAAAAATCCAATGTTTGTTGAATGATGAATTCGTGCCGGGCTCCAGGCTGCATGTTTCACACATATTATCTGACTCAACACTCAACTAGATTCTTGGAAGGGTATGCTTAGAGCCCTGTTTTCCAGATGGAAAGCTTCAGAGCAAGTTAAGCCAGTGAGAGAAGGGGGAGGAATAAGAACCCATGCCAAGTATCTCACCACCTCTGAGGGCTCTGGTGAGTTGGTTATAACCCCAAGCAGGATTCATGCCAGCTCATGGAGAACCCGGGACGTCATACAGGACCCTTGAACTTAACAGCACACTGTTGTCCAGTGAGGGGTGTCAGGTGTCAGAGAGAAGGAAGTGGAGTAGCTTGCTGTGTCTGCACATTCAGTTAGTCGCAGCAGAGGATTTCTTGGGGGAATGCTTTGTGACTCTCCTGAGGACACCTGCACAGATATGTTGTCCCACACTGAGTAATGGTCACCTTCACACTCTTGCTCAAATATGAGCAAGCTCTATTTTTCCACTTCTATAGACCAATTTGGTGGGCCTCAAACATTTTACTCTATCATTAATGTCAAAATATAGGTCTGATAGGTGTTTAACAATGTCCAGACTCACAGAGGGACAGGAAGCCTACTGCAGGGATCCAGCACAATTAATGATTTCTTCAGGATTACTCAGGCTCAACTTTGATTTTTGAGTTACTTACGTATATCACCCTGAAGCCTTCACATCACTAAGGTATTCCAAGTTCCAAGGACTATGAAAGATCTCTGTTCACTGTAGATATCTATTATTCTGTAGTTTTGCTTGTAAACTCCAGAACTGTTCTCTAAGCTCACTGCAATGGGACCAGTGTTTCTTTTCAGGTCCCTACGTATTTCCCCTGAAGTCTAGTAAAGGACCCATGGCTTCTTGGTTCTGCCTTCAGTTGGTTTTGTGTGAGTGTAAACATATCTGTCAGTTGATTTTGGGGACAATTTTAAAGTATGATTACTTGGACCTTTTACAAGGAAAAAGTCCAATATATATTTATTTACAAATCCATAGGATGCAAACCAGAGTTCTAGTAGAAATTATATGTTTTTTATTAAAAAAATTTTTATTCATTTTGCATACCAACCAACAGATTCCCCCCCATCACTCCCCCCCCCCCCCCCGTTCTCCCCTACCACCTTCCCCCACATCCATCCCTCATTCCCTCCTCCCAAAGGGCAAGTTCTCCCATGGCGGGGGGCGGGGGAAGGGGGAGACAGCAAAACCTAGTACATTCAGTTGATGCAGGACCAAGCCCCTCCCCGCTGCATCAAGGCTGAGCAAGGTGTCCCACCATAGGTAGTGGGCTCCAGAAAGCCAGCTCATGCACCTGGGATAGATCCTGATCCCCACTGCCAGGGGCCCCTCAAACAGACCCAGCTACACAACTTTTTCCCGTATGCAGAGGGCCTAGTCTGGTCCCATGCAGGCTCCACAGCTGTCAGTCTAAAGTTTGTGAGTTCCTTTGAGCTTGGTTCAGTTGTCTCTGTAGATTTCCCCATCATGATTTTGACACCCCCCCCCCCCCCCCCCCCCCCCCCCCGTCATATAATCCCACTTCCTTCTCCTTGACTGGACTCCTGGAGCTCGGCCTGGTGCTTGGTGGTGGATCTCTGCATTTGCTTCTGTCAGTCACTGGATGAAGGCTCTATGATGACAGTTAGGGTATTCACCGATCTGATTACCAAGTTAAAGCCAGTTCAGGCACCTTTATCACTATTTCTAGTAGTCTAATCTGGGATCATCCTTGTTGATTCCTGGGAATTTCCCTAATACCAGGTTTCTCCCTTACCCTATAATCAATCCCTCTATCAAGATATCTCTTTCATTGCTCTCCCACTCCATTCTTCCCCCAGCTCAACCATCCTGCTCCCTCATGTTCCCATCCCCTCCCTTCTATTGCCCCTCCTCGTCCCCAGTTCACTCATGGAGATCTTCTCTGTTTCCCCTTCCCAGGGCGATCCATGCATCCCTCTTAGGGTCCTCCTTTTTAGCTAGCTTCTCTGGAAGGGTTGTAGTCTGGCTATCCTTTGCCTTACATCTAGTATCCACTTATACCATGTTTGTCTTTCTAAGTCTGGGTTACCTCACTCAGGATAATATGTTTTAGTTCCATACATTCGCCTGCAAATTTCATGATGTCATTATTTTTTACAGCTGAGTAGTACTCCGTTGTGTATATGTACCACATTTTCTTTATCCATTCTTTGGTTGAGGGGCATCTAGGTTGCTTCCAGGTTCTGGATATTATGAATAATGACCACTATCTCAAAAAGATGCAAAGCAAAGGATAACTAGGATACAATTCACAACCCCAGAGAAGCTAGGTAAAAAGGAGGACCCTAAGAGGGACACAGATGGACAGCCCCAGGAAGGGAAAATAGTTAAGCTCTCCTGCGTAAACGGGAGGGGGGGTAGAAGGGAAGGGATGGGGATGGGAACAGGAGGAACTGAAATGGCCAAGTGGAGGGAGGGACGGAGAGGGAGAGCAATGAAAGAAATATCTTGGTAGAGGGAGCCATTAAGAGATTAGAGAGAAACCTGATGCTAGGGAAGTCCCCAGGAATCCACAGGATGACACCAGCTAAGACTCCTAGCAATAATGGAGAGAGTGCCTGAACTTACCTTCCCCTATAATTAGATTAGTGACTACTCTAATTGTCATCATAGAACCTACATCCAGTAACTGGTGGAAGCAGATGCAGTGATCCATAACCAAGCACTGGGCTGAGCTCCTAGATTTCAGTTGAAGAGAGGGAGGAGGGATCACAGGAGCAAGTGAGGTCAAGATCATGATGGGGAAAACCACAGAGACAGCCAGCCCATGCTGGTAGGAGCTCATGGACTCTGGCCTGTCAGCTAGGGAACATGCATGGGACTGAACTAGGCCCTCTGAATGTGGGTGATAGTTATGTGGCTAGATCTGTTTGGGGAGCCCCTGGCAGTGGGACCAGGACTTATCCCCAGTGCATGAATTGGCGTTTTGGAACACATTCCCAGGGTGGGATACCTTGTCAGCCTTTACACAGCGGGGAGGGGCTTGGTCCTGCCTCAACTTAGTATGCCAGACTTTGTTGACTGCCCAAGGGAATCCTTACCCTCTCTGAGGAGTAGATGGGGGGTGAGAAGGGAGGAGATGGGGGTGGGAGAAGGGAAAGGAGGGGGAACTGGGATTGGTATGTAAAATGAAAAAAAACTTTAAAAAAATAAACAAAAACAACTAAAAATGTCTTTAATAAAAGGCTAAAGATTAATTGGGCATAATTTTAAGTGTAAAAACTTTCAAGTTATTTGGTTGAGCTTGTTACATTTTTTTCTGCCACAGTCTCTTAAGCTTTGTGTAGTCTCCAGCAATCACTTACATGGACCTAGAAAAAGCAAAAGACTTCTCCATCTATTCATATCCACTCCTGTGTACTACAGATTTACTAAAGAAAAAGAAAAAAGAAAAAAAACCACAAAAAACCCCAAAACAAAACAAAACAAAAAAACTCTTCAAAACTAACACCAGTCTGTTTCTAGTTTTCAGAAACTTTACTCTTCAAAATGTCTTCCAAATACCCTAACATGATTTTAAGATAATTCACAAGGGCCTGGCTTTTTCATTCCACTCATCTTAGAATCCTACTTTTGAACACTGTACATCTCCTTATTGATTCATATCATTGGATACTCTCCCTTGACAAATGAAAGAAAGAATTGCTTGTATGGTCCTCATTTTAAACACGGGGAACCTGAGATCGAGAGAGGGATGGCCTCAAGTTCATGAGTCAGGCATGGGACTGGTCCGGAGCTGGAACTGCTGCCGACGCCTTGCGCTGTCATGGACATTTGTCGCCCTTCAGTGGTTTTTGAAAGTCTTACTGTCTGTGGCACCACATACTGACTGCGTCTTAAACTCTTGGTCAGATTGTTTATTTATCCATGAATTGTATGTATTAAAGTTTCTAAGGTTTTGTGTCTCATCTCTGACAACAATTAGGTTCCAAGCTTGGTCTTCATCGCTAACACAGTGCCTGCTTCACAAAGTGCTCAGCAAGTACGCCAGAGGTGTTAGTTATGACTATGGAGTAAAAAAACCCATGTCTTTCCATTTGATGAGTAGTTAATGCCAGTTTCTCCTCCTCCACATCCTGCTCTGTCTGCTCTGCTTTTATGCAGCAAGGCCGGTAGACTTTGACTTCTTTCTACTAGTAAGACTCAAGTTAAATAGTTATCTTGACCTTCAATTCAGAAATTCTGATTCTAACTCTGTAATATATTAGTATATATTACACAATACGGGAAATAGACAGACTACATTATAAGCTATAGCAGATTTCAAGGAGAGTTGGAAAAAATGGCAGGGTCTTAGCTCTAAACAGAAGATGACTTGGCACTCAAGAGACTGAGGCAGGATGGAAATTTGAGGCCAGTCTGGGCTACACAGCAAAACAAAACAAAACAAAAGAGCAAAAGCAAAAACCCAAGCCAGCAAACTGACCTAGGTAGCCAGAAACGGCGGCATATAGATGTAATTCATGTGTAAAGGGCAGAACAAGACCAGCCTGGTCTATACGGTAAGACCTTGTCTCGGAGACAGGACAAAACAAGACCAAACAGCAACAGAAAACTTGACCTGGGTGATTTAAGTTACATACACACACATGTACACACACACATATATACACTTAGATGCACACACACAGGCATATGTATACACACACACACACACACACACACACACACACACACACCCGATAGTAGAGGAAAGAGTTGGAAGGTAGTTCACAGGACAGCATGGGAGGCTGAGTAAACAGCTCCTGGAAATGACAAAGCTTCACCAGCTTCTTTAGATCTTAAGGTCAAGACCAGTCCCTGCCGATCCAATCCCTTCTCAGTTTAGCAGCGTCTATTGGGAGGAGAAGGTGATTGGCTGTACTGTGGTCATGTGACTTTCTCTGATGCAGCTTTCCAGTCTGAACTAAAAGAAGGTTGATTTCTCAATTGAACCAAAGTGTATAGTGTTGACTAAGAGGAAGGAAGAAACAATAGATTGCATATACTTTAAAGAAAAAAAAAAGGCTAGACTATAATTCCATTTATGTGATAGATTTTCCAACTTTTCCAGGCCAAACTGGGGGTGAAGAACAGATTGGTGACTGATAGGGGCAGCTCGAGGGAGTTCTCACGTACTGATTGTGTGAGAGGATTACATAAATACTTATGTATACTAAAAGTCATTGAGTTATAGACTAAAGCATCAATTTTGTTATACGTAAGTAAAAATCATTTTAGTAAAACAAAAACACAGAATGCAAATAAGTTTCTTTAAATATCTCACCCTTTATATCTTGAGCCAATTTATAATGTTTTCAGAAGATTCATGTCCCTGTTTTTCTTTTTTTTGGTAACAGTATTTGGAACTTCGATTTAATCGATTCATCCGTCTCTGTGGGACAGTCCTCTTCATCGTTCAAACAGTAAGCACCGCTCCATTAATCTACTTTCTCTTCTGTCATCTAAAACATTTTTGTCCTTGGCACTGGGTGAGCTTTGCTTGGGAAATACATGGAAGATAAAATGGAGATGATTACAACATGAGGAAATGAAAAAGAAACAAAACACAAAACCAAACACACTTGTCATCACCAAGAATGAAACCTGAAGATCCCTAAACCGTATTTCAGCAAAGACGTTACTTCCTGGAAAAACAATGGTTTAAGTGAATTTAAATACTGTATTGGTCAAGGAGAGGCTATGGAGCTTTAGGGAAATACCCTTTCTAGCCTTTCCCACCTGGACCAAAGTGACAGTGGGTGCATTATTTAAATGACAGAAATATTTGAGGGAGCTGCATTCTTCCTCAAAATTTATTTTTATTAAGTATTTAAATTTTTATTAAATATTTAAATGACAGGAGGAATTCTCATACAAGGAAAACAGGGTGAAGATTTCTTGGTCCTTTTGCAACTGATTGGATAATATATATATTAATAACACACATATATAATCTGACAAGAAGACTTTAGGAGGCAATATTGTGTAAAAATGTACTTGAAAAATGAATCGGCATTCTTTAAAACCTTGAGCTCTTAGACCCAACTGGAGCAGTATTATTTAGTATAAAGGAGAATCCAAACTTTAGAAGAGATTGTAAAGACACACGCATAATCCAGCCATTCAAGAATATGCAAATGTAGACGTATTGATGAACATGAATGGAAAGCAGAGGTTTGCTAAGTGGCTAGTACAGACACGCACCACTGCATTGATGCTTCTGTAGGAGGCTGCTGGAGGGTTTGCATGATCGTTATCCCATCGTTTATCTCTCTCTCCCTCCACAGCTGAGCATTTGGGTCTGGATTTGGTAAGGGAGGTTGACAATTTTCACTTCTCCGGTCAAAAGCTGCTTAAGCATTTGCTCCAGAGAGACGTGAGACAGAGTGCCTTTCCCCACTGTTTAACTTGGTTTTATTTTATATCTCTGTACATTTCATCACATCTTAGCACTTGAAGTATGAAAGGCAGGTAGCTATGGAGTCTGGTGGAGGGTCTGATATTCTAAGGCAACTTGCTTGTTTGTATTAACTTTCTAGACAGTGGTTCTCAACCTGTGGGGGGCGGGTTGCATATCAGCTATCCGGCCTATCAGATATGTACATTATGATTCATAACTAGCAAAGTTACAGTTATGAAGTAGCAATGAAAATGATTTCATGATTGGGAGTCACCACAACATGAGGAGCTGTATTAATGGGTCGCAGTGTTAGGAAGGTTGAGAACCACTGGTAATGACCCTTTCTCTATGCTCATGTTGAAAATGCCTACATGAGCAAGAGGTGGGGACAGTTGTTAGGAAGACAGCCCACCACATTTCAGATCTTCAACATGGACAGACTAATGACTATGGGAACTAGCTCGCTTCTTTTCAAAACAAGGAAAGCTCTAGCACATCCTTTCTGAAGGATTAGACTCCGTGTAGGATAATTAAGCATTCAGTTAGCATATAATATGTCTTTATAATGTTACTTGGAGTTCCCTGGTATAGAATGTATTTGAAGGGTGAATGCAATGAAATCATATTTTGAGAAACAGATAATTTTTCTTAACTGTTGTACTCAAGGCCTATAAATATTTGTTGAATATATGAGTGGAAAGTGATTATATAAAATGATGGATTATAATATTTGAAAGGTTTCATAATTTTTAGTGCAAATTGACACTTTTTTTTTTTTTTTTTTTTTTGGTTTTTCGAGACAGGGTTTCTCTGTGTAGCTTTGCGCCTTTCCTGGGACTCACTTGGTAGCCCAGGCTGGCCTCGAACTCACAGAGATCCGCCTGGCTCTGCCTCCCGAGTGCTGGGATTAAAGGCGTGCGCCACCACCGCCCGGCCGCAAATTGACACTTTTGTCTTAATTAGTTTGAAAGCCAGTTTTCAAAAATTTTACTTTGAAAAAAAAAATCATTTTGGATGGTTGGTTTGTGGCTCCTCTCTAGACTGCTTATCACATTTGCCTAAGGCCCTGGATTACACCCCAGCATTGAGAAAGAAAATGGTGATTAGCAGTATTTGAAGGCATATAATTAAGAGACCAACCTATTATTCTTTCTTTGTAGTTAAGTATTTTAAATTTATGAAAATATAGTTTAAGCTTAAGGTGATGGATCAATAAACATATTTTTTTTTTACTAAGCACCACACTTTTATAATAGGTCTTCACAAAAGATTTTTGTGTTGTTTAGCTACACTGTAGACAGAAAAGAAAAAAAAATCCATTTTATTTAAGTATTTCCGAGTTATAATAGCACATTAAATATACTGAAAAGGATCAATTCATAATTGATTTTATAATTCTCATGTGAAATTCATTCATTTTATACTTCATGTTATTCATTCTTTTTCTTCTCTCCCCACTAGATTCTGTATACTGGAATTGTTATTTATGCCCCTGCTCTGGCTTTGAATCAAGGTACATTTAAAGTGGCAATCATGGAGCTCACAGTGTTGGGCTCATTTTTGCTAAGATTTATTCTCTTCTTGGGGAGACAGACAGATGGAAAAGGACTTCCAGTAGTCCTTATGGGTTTTATGAGGGTGGTGGGGTGGGCTTAGTGTCTATACTAGTTTCTTTGATGTTTTGATTAGATAGTTCAAAAATATCTCTCTATAGGCTGATAGGACAGACCTAGACCTTCCCAGGGACACCATGGGGGTAAGAGTGGTTGCTTCTGTGTGGTATGTCCACCAGCCCTTCTTTGTTTCTTCCCAACCCATGCCCCTCCCCACTGTAGGCCAAATGACTACACTCCCTCCTTTTTGACTATTTCCTGGGGTCTACCCCTGTATTAATTAGCTTTCCATCGCTTCCATAAACACCATGACCAACAGCAACTTGGGGAGGAAAGGGTTTGTCTTGGCTTATAGCTTACAGTCCACTATGAAGGGAAGTCAAGGCAAGAACTCTAGGCAGGAACCTGGGGGCAGGAAGTGAAGCAGAGGCCTTGAATAGATACTGCTTGCTATCCGTGGCTTGTTCAATGTTTTTTTTTTCTTTTCTTATGAAAACCTACTGTATTATTTTTTAAATTTTAGCTCTACTTTATTAGGGATTAATTTCCATGTAATCAAATGTGCCAACTCTAATTCACTGAGTTCAGTGAAAGTGGACATATGTTAACTCATGTAACCAATATCACAATTAAGATATCACATCAATGTTTTCTCTCATACTTCCTTAGAATTAATTCTTCCCTGACTCTAGGCAACTCTGATGTGTTTCCCCCTCTTTTATTGGAAATAGATTCTTTTATTACATAGTATATCCTGATTACGGTTTCCCTTCCATCCAATCCTCTCAGTTCCTTCCCTCTTCCCCTCCCATTTGGTCTACTCCCCTTCTGTCTCTCATTAGAAAACAATCAGGCTTATAAGAGATAATAATAAAATACAACAAAATGCCAGGCAGTAGTGGCACATGCCTTTAATCCCAGCACTACAGAGGCAGAGGCAGGTCGATCTGGTTTGAAGACAGCCTGGTCTATAGAGTGAGTTCCAGGACATCCAGGACTACACACAGAGAAACTGTGTCTTGAAAAACCAACCAACCAACCAACCAACCAACCAACCAACCAAACAAACAAACAAACAAAAAACAAAACAAAAGAACTCCAAATAAAATATTGTAAAACATGCCGGGCGGTGGTGGCGCACGCCTTTAATCCCAGCACTCGGGAGGCAGAGCCAGGCGGATCTCTGTGAGTTCGAGGCCAGCCTGGTCTCCAAAGCGAGTTCCAGGAAAGGCGCAAAGCTACACAGAGAAACCCTGTCTCGAAAAAAAAAAAAAAAAAAAAACCAAAAAAAAAAAAAAAAAATATTGTAAAACAAAAACTATCATATAGAAGTTGGGCAAGACAAACCAACAGAAGAAAAAGAGCCCAAGAGCAGGCACAAGAATCAGAGACCCACTTGTTCACACACTCAGGAATTCCATACAAAGACTAAACTGAAGGCCATAATATGTACATAGAGAACCTGATGCAGACCCGTGCAGGCCCTGTGCATGCTGCCTCAGCCTCTGTGAGTTCATATGAGCTTTGATCATGCTGATTCAGAGGGATTTGTTTTGGTGTCCTCTATTCCTTCCGGCTCTCACATTTTTTTTTGGTCTCCTCTTCCATGGGGTTCCTTGAGCCCTGAGAGGACAGATTTGATGGAGACATCCCATTAGGGCTGAGTGGTCCAAGGTCTCTTACTTTCTGCATAATATCAGGCTGTGGGTCTCTATATTTGTTCCCATTTGCTGCAGGATAGCAGAGTATCATTAGGGGCCACTTTATTACTACTTTTTTTTTTAAGACTAGCAGTATTTCATTTTACCCTAGGTCCCTGGGCTATCCAGTCTCTGGTTGTTGGTCACCCAAGCAGTGTCAGTTATCAGTTCCATCTCATGGAGTGGGCCTTAAGTCAAATCAGGTATTGGTTGGCTAGTCCCACAAGTTCTGTGCCACTATTGAACTATCATATCTTGCAGCCAGGATACTATTGTAGATAAAAGGGTTTGTGGCTGGCTCGCTGTTTATGTTTCTCTTTTGGTAGCTGTCTTAGTTAGGGTTTCTGTTTCTGTGATGAAACACCATGACCAAAAGGCAGGTAGGAGAGGAAAGGGTTTATTTCACTTACACGACAGCATTGTTGTTCATCACTGAAGGAAGGAAGGACGGGAACTCAAACAGGGCAGGATCCTAGAGGCAGGAGCTGATGCAGAGGTCACGATGGGGAATTGCTTGCTGACTTGCTTCCCATGGCTTGCTCAGCCTACCTTCTTATAGAACCCAGGACCAGCAGCCCAGGGATGGCACCACTCACCATTGATCACCAAATGAGAGAACGCCTTAACTGCCAGATCTCAAGGAGGCATTCCTCAGCTGAGGCTCTTTCCTCTGATTGTATAGCTTTTGTCAAACTGACACATAAAACCACCCAGTACAATAGCATGGAGAGTATGTTCCTGTACCAAAGCTGCTAGAATGCAGGGGTGAAGGGTCTATGTAGGCACCAGCTCCATTTCTCCATGTTTGATGAGTTGTACAGGTGTTGTCTGTAACAATGGACTGTTGCTGTCAGTTTGTGGAGAGCAACCTATTGTCTTGGCAAAAGCAAACCTGGTTTATTTGGGGATTCCCATGGAACCCTTTGACCAACAACTCAATTGGATGTAACCCAATCCTGATACTGGAAGTTTCCTTTGATGACAAGAGATGTCCAGTGGGGCTCTTTCTCCCCTATAATTTGGCAATTTCACTTAGATCACCTTCATAGATATATGTATTTTAACTACTGTATTAGCTTTCCATACTACCCTCAAATACTCCTTAATTTTAACTGTCTCTCCATGTATTCCCCCCCTCAACTCTCTCTTTCTCCTCTCCCTCTCTACTTGATCCTTCCATTCTAGTCCCCCCATTCATAAATGTCTATTCTATTTCCCTTTCCTGATGAAATCTATCTGTACCCTTTAGTCCCTTACTCTGTACCCTCCCTCTGTGGTTCTATGGATAGTAGTTTGGTTATCATTGTCTTAATGGCTAATACCTACAGACAAGCAAATGCATACCATATTTGTCTTTCTGGATCTGGAATACCTCACTCAGAATGATTTTTTTCTAGTTCTATCCATTTGCCTGGTGATTTCATGATGTCATTTGTTTAAATAGCTGAGTAATACTCCATTGTGTAAATGTACCACATTTTATTTATCCATTCTTCCATTGAGGAACACCTAGGTTATTTACAGTTTCTGGCTGTTATAAATAGAGCAACAATGAACATGGTTAAGCAAGTGTTTCTGTGGTAGGATGAAGCGTCCTGTCTTAGTTAGGATTTCTATTGCTGTGAAGAGACACTATGACCACAGCAACTCTTATAAAGGAAAACATTTAATTTGGGCTGGCTTGCAGTTCAGAGGTTGAGTTCATTGTCACCATGGTGGGAAATGTGGTGGCATGCAAGTAGACACAGTGCTGGAGAAGGAGCTGAGAGTGCTACATCTTGATCCACAAGCAACAGAAGGAGACTGTGTACTGCACTGGGCATAGCTTGAGCATAATGAGACCTCAAAGCCCGCCTCCACAGTGACACACTTCCTCCAACAAGGCCACACCTCCTAATAGTACCACTTCCTATGGGCCAATCATTCAAATACACGAATCTATGGGGGCCATACCTGTTCAAACAACCACACATCCTTTGGGTATATGCCCAAGAGTGGTATAGCTGGATGTTGAGGTAGAGTCGTTCTCATCTTCCTGAGGGATTTCCATAGTGGCTGTGCAAGTTTACAGTCTCACCAACAGTGGATGAGTGTTCCCCTTGCTCTACATCCTCTCCAGCAGGTGCTGTCACTTGTTTTATTGATCTTAGCCATTCTGACAGGTGTAAGATGGAATCTCAAAGTAGGTTTGATTTGCATTTCTATGATGACTGAGGATGTTGAACATTTCTTTAAGTGTTTCTCAGCCATTTGGGCTCACCCGATTGAGAATTATCTGTTTAGATCTGTATTCTATTTTTAAGGTTGTATTATTTGTTTTCTCGCTATCTATTTTTTTAAGCTCTTTATATATTTTGGACATTAGCCCTCCATCAGATGTGTAGTTGGTAAAAATATTTTCCCATTCTGTAGACTGCCACTTTGTGTGAATGATAGTGCCCTTTGCCATGTAGAAGCTTTTCAGTTTCATCTTATTGATCTACTTTTATACATCCCAAGACCACCCCCTGTGGGCTGTGCCCTCTCACATCAACCATTAATTAAGAAATGCCCCGAAGACTTTCCCACAGGCTAATCAACTGAGGTTCCCTCTTCCCAGATGATTCTCGCCTCCTAGATGTCAAGTTTACAAAAACCTAGCCAGCACAGTCCCCAAGAACCTTCTGTTTTCTGCTCAGATCTGCGATAAAATCTGCTCTTTCTCCCCCTAGATTGAAATCGACAGTAGCAGTGTGATTTGGCATATGAGGTGGCTCCAAGTGACTATTGTGTGTGTAAAAACCCAGGAAGGCACCGATCAATAAACTACTTCTTTTCTTTAGATTTCTGCTGATAAAAGCAGTGAAACTGTAACAACGTATTGAGGCATTTTTGGCTAGTCATAGCTTCAAAAGAACTATGGGAAAACTCTGTGCTCTTTGAATTCTTATCAGTTAAAGTGAGTTTATCTCCAAAACTTCCTTGTAAAAATGGATAGATGGTATTTGTGATGCTTATGGATGTGGTGCAGTTCCTGAAATAAGTACAACATGGGGAAAACCTACTAACTCCATGCTCCATTTTCCTGATTTTATGACAGGATGTTTTATGACAATAACCACTACCAGAGTCTGTGAAATATTACAGTATCATTACAAAGAAGAGCTCCAGCATGTAATGTCCTCTGGACCATCTGTATGTCAGGCGTGATCCATGTCAGC